ACAGGGGCGAAATAATGCATACTCGAATGAAAATGGAGTGGATAATACGCAGCAGATTATATAGTTGCAATGTACGAAGAGGAGATGCAACGCAGTGGCATAATACACTATGCCGCAAGGGTCATTAGGTCAGATGCATAAATGTGAATGGTTCTCGAATCGTCCGGCTAATGGCGGACCTGAGAATTAGGTGTATTAAGATTAAAAGCACGTGCAAGGAGAACGGCCTTTTTACGTTTCGATTTGTGCAATGCGAATCAGGTTAATTCAAATTAACTATAAAATATTGCAATTGATAATTAATTTACCTTTACTTACATTACTAATGAGCATTTGTACGTTCAATTAATTAATAACTTTTAATTATTAAATGTCATTACTTAGATTAAATTTATTTATAGTGATCCGTGTGTACTTTATGAAATACGTTTCAAATATTTAACGGTCGTTATTGATTTTTATAAGTAAATAACGTTTTGTTTGTGTTAGAAATGAACTCGAGGACATAAATGGCGCAAAGATTCGATTATTATTTTATTTATTTATTCTCTCCCAGCGTAATTCTCGTGTAAATGCAAATGCGAAATTGTATGACGTCATATGAGAGCATTGAACGCGTACGAATAGATGTACATGCTGGTAGCGGTGAGGGGATGAGTTGGAGCGTGCGAAATTGCGTATATGTAAATGCAGCGCACATAACAATGCTGCATTATTGTATACCGATGCGCTAGGTTGCGTCGCGGTTGGCAGATGCAGCATCCAGTGCGCATCTAATACGTCAACGGTAACAAAAATATTTCATTCCCAAACTCGATTGTTCACTTATTTTGACCTGGCTTTCAAAGATAATATAATCGCGAGAGAATCGAAAATAATTCTTAATATCCAAAAGTTTTTAATAACTTTAGTAAAATATGATTGACTTTTATATACGAGATTATTTGAGGAAATATAATTCGCGAAGTTAAGATCAATTGCAAAATACACAGACACACACACGCGCGCGCTTGCGCGCGCGCATAAAAGGAAATATACAGTCGACCCGTTACAAGGGTCGCAGATGCTGCGCTTTAATCCACCAGCTTAATTGGATTTTTATTCGAATCGAGGAACGCGCTTCGAGCTTCGAACCGATCGCAATTTTCAGAGCGCGGAGACGGAATTCATTATGATCGAGCGAATCGTGTTTCCCCTTCATTACACAGTCAGGCGCGATACATGCAAATGTACGAACCAGCGCTGGAACGACGTCGCGCGAGGCCTGGTGTACGTGTCCCTTCAGCACGACATCAAGGGACCAAGATGGTCAATACGAAAGGGTGCTCACTCGAATTACAGCAAACGAACGTTTCAGGTGGCCGCTAAAAATAGAATACAAGCGCGCTGAACTAGCAAACACATCGCTCCGACTATTGTACCATACGCCATTTACAAAAATGTCACTGGGAATAATGGAAGGGAAACGTTTGTACTCCGGATATTTAGTTGCGCAAACGCTACGTCAGTCGGATTATATCATATTTCCATGCTCGTGACAGTTCTTTGATGTTTGCTCGCGGAGGAAAGTTGGAGGCGCTTTCTCGTGAGTGTTCTTTCGAACTGCTTCGCATGACGTTACGTATATGATATGTGCGATATTACTCCTTTGAATTATGTTATGAAAAACAAATGTTACAAATTTTCTTCAAAATCTTGTGCACCTCTTGTTTCTCCGTTTAATTCGGTGCATATTTGGCTTTGTGTTAATTATCGCGCAATTTTTTTTCATTAATATAAAAAACATTCAAATTGTTGAATAATTTATAGCATTCAAATGTTTTTTTGAAAAAATTTTTGATTACATATACAATATTTTTTTAAAATTACTTCAAAAATATTCTAATATAATCGCAATAAAAATAATTGAAGAAAAAAAACCAACAAACTTGTAAAAAAAATATTATATAAATTTGTTTGTTTTTTTAACGTATCGCGAATTGGTAACAAATTTAACGTATACTCAAATATTGTTCAAATAATTCACGAAATGGAAGAAACTGCGATCGTGTGCAAAGTTTTAGGTGTGAAACGCGTATTTTCAGCAGACTCGAGTTACCGCAGCGAAAACGCGCCGGAATAGCGATTTCCACGCAAATTCTCGCTAACGAAGTGAAAATTCGTTAGCATCGACCGCAGACCACCGAGTTTTCCGTGACTGTCGTTTGCTATGCGGCTCGCTGACGGTAGGAAGTCGCCCGCGCCGGAGAGATGAACGTCATCCGGTATCGTTGCACGTATCGAGGATGTGGAAGACAAGGATGACGGGGCGACGGGTGGCGGGGGGAGAGGGTGACGGGGGATGCGAGATGGCGCGTGTATAAACGCGGCATAGAGACACGATGTGCCGGTGCATAGCTGTAAACCGGGGTGGCGCAGGTGCATCACTGCTGTAGAACGCAGGAAGCGCCGTGTATAAACGTCGTTCAGTTCTGCTGCATGCGCGCATGTACGTGCTTGCGTGTGTGCGGCCGCTGCATACGTGTGATCCGTATCGAGGTGCTGCGCGCCGTGTATCGCAGCGTTCTCGGAGGTTCTCCGGGCGAAACGACGTCCAGGTTATCAAACTGCCGTTCATGCATAATGCACCGATCTCTGCAGGTATCTCGCGCTCTGTCTCTCCCCGGTTGTCTACCTCTCCGGTCTTTCTCTTTCTCTCTCTCTCCCTCTCTCTCCCTCTCTCTCTCCCTCTGTCTCGTATGATCCTTTCCTCCCTTCTCTTTTACCCTTAGCCGGAGTTCTCGTCGATCGCCAGAAAACAAGGTTCCGGAATTCCGGGGACAAAGCTGCGGAAGTGCTGGCATCAGCTGCGGTGGAGATCCTCTATCAGATTTCCTCCGCCGCGAGCAAACGGAGGATGTCAACGTGTAGCGAGTGATAAGAGTGAAGGAGAGAAGAATGAGAAAATATAGCGATCTTGCAAGAATGAGAAAGAATCGGTTTGCACACCGCCAAACACGTATAGGCGCATTTTACTGGCGATGAAAGAATGATTCAGTCGCAAAGACGGACTGGCATGAATCGAGCTACGATTTCATATTTATGACAGGCGGTTTAAGAAATTTGTTGCATATTCGAAACGACAAAATACGAGTTACAGACTCTATTCAAAGTCTGACTGAAAAATTATTTTACTTATTGTTGGACATCTCTTGTATTCCGAAGGTCTGAATGAAAACCATTGTTCTCCCATAATTAGCAAACATTTCGAGATACACATTCATCAATTACTTCATAAATTTATCAAACTTAACGTAATATATTAATTATCAATCATATTTTAGATAATTAAAATATACAAAGGTGTGAAGAAAACATGTATCATAATTATTAAATTATTACGGCATTAAAACTTTCTTTTACTGATCGCTTAAATGCTTACATAACATCTAACTGGTTTATCTGTATCCAGATTTATTGATGAAATCAAAGATTATATCGTGAGTGAGTTAATAACCTCGTTATCTTCTATCGGAAATATCCTCTCGTACGCGATGAAGCAGGAAACCGAAGCTGGAAATGAAAAAGTGAAAGAGGACACGGTAGGTGCGCACACTGCCGAGCACGATATACGTTTTATTGCCGATGAAAAGACGGCTCGGTCGAATCCGTTGCCGTAACTGGAGCGATCAATCCGTTAGATCCCTCTTCCACAGCATTTTTATTCTCGATACTCGAACGAAGAATCTTTCTGTCAGGAATCGACGACTCGCAATCCTACGCCTTTTAACATAATATGAAAATCCTATAGATTTTTTTTCTTTTCATTTTATGACTGTATCGATATATCTTATTTCTCTCGAGAAAATTCATATTTTTTAACTGAGTTACAAGCGCATTTTCTGCTTAGCGATACATAAAAGAATTTTGAAGTAGGATATATCTCATTCACTGCAAGTGTTTTTGAGTTTTTTGTAAAATTTTATTTAAAATTATTGTGTAAAATAAATTTCTATTTTTGATCGCGCGTAATCTTTAATTGAATATATTTTATACTGAAATTTTTGTCACACACTGTTGATGAGATTTTATAATAATTCGAAAAAAATAGACTTTTTTAAACAAAAATAATGTTTGGACTTGAAAGATGGAGTAGATGAGAAGTAAGTACAGTGCTAACAACCATTGATGCATTCTTTATGCAATTCCTTCCTATATAAAGAGTGAGCATAGATTATTCTATGAAATGTGTATGATTCGATGTTCCAATGCAGATAGAAACCGATCGAATTGATATTATTGCTCTATTCCGAATAAATGGCTCGTTTTTAAAGCCGTGACATTTCCGCTGCATTTTCTGTCGTAATTCTCGGGCGCTACGCAGCGCGTTGTACACCTTTGTGTATTTTACAGTCTAAACTCCTTATTCTGAATACGCCTTGAATGTTGCATAAACCAACATATCTCGACTTTACAGCAGAAGCTTTCTCGTCTCTAAGCCGTGGAAAAATTGGCAGAGATTTATGGGAAATTGTTCCCCTCTTCGTAGAACTTGCCATTGCTTCAAGAACTATGTGAGATTACTCTCGCAGTAAGAGCGATCTTGATGCGCATTCCTCTCCGCGGAAGTAAAATCTTGCGACGGGAAACAGACGGCAAACGCACGTTTATTACTTCTTGTAAATTTAAAAAGTTCAACAGTAAATATATCCCGGTCTTTAAATGTCAAATTGGACTTCTAAGAAAGTGAAGTCTACTCGCAAACTGAAATGAACAGATTTATTATTTTATTTCATTCCAAATACTTACTTTATAAAACTGTCTGCCTTTTTAATCGTTTACTCGAAGACTGTTAGCGTTTCAACATCTTAATTTGAAAAAAATTGATTTTAAGATTGCTACAAAATTAAAGTTAGGATTGGAAATTTCAATTTTAACTTTAATTTCTGGCGCTATATTTGTCCTATACTCTGTTTGTAACTTTTTCTTTAATTATAATCACAATTTTTACCATGTTTCAGGACGAGGAGTGGTGCTGGACAGTCAAGGGCCGGTGCTCGTCTCAGAGCCGCGCTCTAGCGTGGAGTTCTCAAACGACACCGGGGCGATGATCCACTGCTCGGCCCACGGCAGTCCCTCGCCGAGAATCGACTGGCTGATGGGCGACGGCTCACCGGTCTTACCGATACCGCATATCCGTGAGATGCTGGTAAACGGTTCCATGTACTTCCTGCCGTTCGGCGCCGAGAGCTACCGGCACGATGTGCACTCGGCTGTCTATCGCTGCCAAGCGTCGAACAGCGTCGGCAAGGTGCTCGGCCGTGAAATCACTGTAAAGGCCGGTAAGTAAGAATAAGGGAGAGAGAGAGAGAGAAACTACCTTTATTTCTTCCCCGGCTCTCTCGCCTCATCTCCGTCCGTCCACCCTTTTCCAACCGATTGATTTTTCATCATGCCGTAAAGCCCGTACGTATGATAGTGGAAAAAGACAAGTCAGACGACGCTAGCGTGATGTGTAGCTTTATGAGTTTTGCGTACGACTTTGAATTTTCCATCCAAGTCAAGAATCACTTAACCTTATTATTATGTTCTCATAGATATCAGTTTTACATATAGAATTTGTTACAAGTTTGTTTTAATATCTCGCGGACAGTTTAATTTTCAGTACTAAACAATTTATTCTTCGTTGACTTTGATAATTTTTTCTCGGTAAAAACTGTAATTTAAAATTTGCTTAATAATAAAGCTAATGATATCTGTGAAAATTTTATGAACCGCTTTATATAGAAAAGAAGGGTTCAAAAGTTTTCGTTTTTTTAGGTGACTTTTTAAAATAATTTTTCAAGAGCAGAATTCCATATAGCTGCTTCACATTTGCGGTATAAAAACGCAGACTGCGCTGTACAATGTAAAGGTTAGCAGTGTCCGTTAGGGCACTCTGGCTTGTTAAAAATGCACGTACATTCTCTGAAAAGTTGTGACGGCACTTTTTAGAAGCATAGAAACGCCACAAACACGCTACAATTTAAAAATCCTAGATTCATTCCGCATGATCTTGTGATCGCGAAAATTGCTTGCCTTTAAAACTTATTAAGAGATTAGGTTTTTCGTTAAAAAAAACCTGCGACGCGTCTATATGAAAAACGAGATGCTAAATTGACTAATTAACTGCAATTTAAAAAAATTTTAGTATTTGTAAAAAAATTTTTTTCCAAAATATCTTAAAGTTTTTGAATATATTAATTAATTTCCTACTTTTGGTTTATATTATTTATACAATTGATTCGAAAATGGATTAAATTGATGCTTCATATAAAATGTATTTTATAATTATAGAATTCTTTGAATATTTCTGACCTCTCTTCAATATCGTATAATTGTAGGTACCATTATTATAAATTAATTATGATTGTAAATACAAATTATAATTATGAATTTACAGCCGCATTTATTTTTTGAATCTTATTATTAATTCTAAAATATTAAATGTTGCAAAACTTTGCGAGAAAAATTCTCACTTTAAACTTTATTGAAATTGTTCTTTAAACACCATATATTATATATAATTCAACATATCAACACTAAAATTTTTACAATCTTATAACTCAAGTTTAACAGCATTCTCCAACATATTTCACCGTTATAAAAATTTGTTATCTGAAAAATGTGTTAGAGAGTTATTTTTCAGATGTATTTAACGTCAATTGCGAGACAGTAAGGTTGTAACTCGTTGCAAAGTTTCTCCTCGGGCAGTCTTCACTGCATGTTTCGAATGCCCCACGGAGTTTGCCGGAGAAAAATCAACAGTCTTCGGCATTATCAGATCGTACCGTTCTTCGTGAAGTACCTCCACCGAGGTAAATGTAATCGACCATTCCCCGGAATGACGTTTTAAACCCTCGTCGGAGTGCGGCAAGAATAATCGCGCGTTCGGCAAGAGCCAAGCCAACTACATTTATCGCGAATGGGGGGAGGCACCCCCTTTCCACTCGCTTCTCCCCCATCTGCCGTCGCCGCCGCAGTAAATGGATGGCTCTAAATTCACGCTCGCTTGTAGCTAACAACTAGTGCTCACTGCCAAGATCAAGATCCGCGGCTTGCCGCGCGAGTTGCTAAAGTATGCAGAGATGCATTTATGTACGTAGACATGAAATGCTTCAAAACGCATAATGAGAAGCAGATGACTCGTGGATAAGGATAGAAATGTAAAAATTAATTTATCAAAATATTACAACACAAGTTGATAATTAATTAAATTTTATAGCATCGTAACGAGTAATTATAACGAAGAGATAAATTTTTTCTGCAAAGATCGTAATTTTTAATTCTTTTTTTATTAATAATAATCACGCACAAGTTTGCAATTTGTACAGTCGTATATAAAATATTGCAATTATACACAAAATTTGAAACTTTTACGAGATTCTATCTAATTACTTTCACGAAATTTATCGCTGAACGGAAGTAGAAACAGACCATCGTATATTTTGATCAGACATAAAACGAGAACTCCATCGGAGGAAATCCAACGCTCGGTTATCTCCAAACGAATTTCGCGGATGAAAGATCGAGCGCGTCCTACCGCGTAATTTCATGAAGAATGTATCGGTCGATCGACGCAAACAGACGTTTTTCGGCCACGCTATGTACATCACTTGCGATAAACGACCGCACGATTTCTTCGTTTGCGGCTGTAAAAAGTCCCAAAGGTCCGATAGGTATCATTTATCTCAATTAGTGATTAACAAATACATCGATTTTGCGAAAGCAATCCTGCTTAAGTGGGAATTGAAAAAGATAGATTATTGGCAGAAAAGTTAGAAATCGCGAAAAAATATAAATTTTGCAAAAGAAATTTTTTTTATCAAGCTACAGAGATGTTCGTGAACCTAGCATATCATTTTCCAGCAGATCAAAAATAAAAGAGAGCTCTTGTCGCATGCAGTCGAGTTCTATAGTTCCTTATAGTTTTTAGTAATAGTTCTGGTGATTTTATCCAAAAAAACACCAATCGAAAAAATGATCTGCTAACTTCCCGTAGCAGATCATTTTCTAGCAGATCAAAAATAAAAGAGAGTTCTTGTCGCATGCAGTCGAGTTCTATAGTTCCTGATAGTTTTTAATGATAGTTCTGGTGATTTTATAAAAAAAAACACCTATCGAAAAAAATGATCT